ATGTATGTATGTATGTATGTATGTATGTATGATGCTGGGCTGGTACTGACAACGTGATAATGAAGCAGACAGACATGTTCCTCTGCCCTCTCATAACATCATATGGGGGGGGGGTGCGAGGAAGGGGAACAGCCAAACAAAAAATCATAATCATAATGAACCACAATAATGTACTACCTGTTACAGAAGCACAGATGAGGGGCCCCCAAACCCAGACTTGGAGAAACAAGGTATCAGAGAATGTTTCCCAAAACAAATGATGTCTAAGCTGCAGCCTAAATGTTCACACTGACCAAAAATAAAAGAAGGCAGAGGAGATGGGAGAGTGTTCCGAGCAGTCAAGTTAACAAAAGCCAAGAGGTGAGAGAGTACACAAAATGAAATAAGGAATAAGTTCAATACACAGAAGCAGAGAGGGAAGATACCAGGCTGCAGAAACAGGCAAGAGTCAGATAACAGAGAATCCCTAAATCATATTAAGAAGTTTAGACTTTATTCTAAGAGGAATATAAACTAATCAGATTGTGCTTTATGGCCGCTCTGGCTGAAATCCAAGAATAATTTAGAGTTGTTAGGTCTAGAGCATTTCAGTAAAACACTTAAGATTATGGTGACCTGGACTGGGTAGTAGCGAGTGAACAGAAGTAGACAGGAGCCAAGAGAGAAACAGGATAAAACAGATTTGCCAATAAATTGGATGTGGGAACTCAGGAAGAGGGTAGTGCTCAGAATTAGTAAGCAAATCATTCAAAGCTATAGCACACACATCTTGGATTTCATCTACAATTTGTATACAATGCCTAGGCACTAAATATATTTGCTAAGTGAGCGAAAATGTTGTATTTAGTGGCCAAAAGAAGAAAACATTTTATATAAGAACAAAAAAAAAGTGTGTATTTGGCTATGATAAATATAGCTCTGGCTATAAATTTTTAAAAATTCTACTTAATGCAACAACAGTTTGGGGTAAACAAGACTAAGATACCTCAGACCACAGGTAAGTGAGGGACAATACCCAAGCTCTAACACTTCCTAGTAATTGGCTGTCTCGGAATTGCTGGAGCACATCCCAACTATGGGTGAACCCTGGTAATCTGCTGCCAAGTGAACTTTTCTACACATAGTGAGACTTCTACACCAGAACTCAAATGTGATCTGGCCCCAGCATAGAGGTAGAACCTGCCCTTCAAGCCCAGGAAACTTTACTGAGGCAGAGAGGGATGGGTGGGGATCAAGAGGTCAAGTGCTTCCTTAAACAGAATATTTTCTGCAACTTGCCCCAGATTTTACAGCTGGGATGATGTTCATCTTTTGAGGGTTTATCAACGAAATGCTGACCTCAGCTGTTGTATTAGCAAATTTTAGAAAATGGTTGGCAAACCACTCCTCAAAGATAATTTTTTTGAAGTTCCAGGAAAAATTAAAATATATATGTTTAGATTGCAAATGCCACCAAATACTTAAGTTAACAGAAAAAAAATAAGACTTCAAATAAAAGAAATCTTGACAAGGTAATAAATGGAATCAGTTAAAGTCTGAAATATATCCAATATAAAATTTTCCACAATTTATGTCAAATTTTTAAATAATCTACTCCAAAGATAGGATGATTTGGTCAATATCCATCTAGAAAACATTTATAAATTGACATCACAATCAAATTAACAAGCCTCTGAATGTATATAACACAGGCTAATTCCTACCAGTCAGAAAACCCCAAGGAAGCAAAAATCAATATGATCAGTTCTTTACCTGCAGCTCCTTTGAGACTCTCTCTAAGTGATTAGTTATCTTTTTAATCAGATCACTATACATCTGTTCCGAGTGCTGCTGGCATACACATTTATACACACAACTGTGGGGGGAAAAAAACAAAAAAACAGGAAAACTAAAAGTTAATGATAAAGTACTCAGGTTAAAACATACTTTGGATATACGGTGACTGGTCAAATAATTAATTCAGGCCTAAAATTAGTGACCAATCACAACTTTTAAATAAAAATTTACACCCTGCCCCAATCAGTGTTCAGATGGACAAGGTATTACCACCAGCTACAAATAATCGTTTTGAATACTCTATTACACATTTTATCAGTACCAGATAATCTAATATTTGGTGACAATCTGAGAGTCTGACTACGATAACTATTTACAAACCAGCATCTCTCTTGTTTTATTGAATGTCAAAATAAGAGAGAGTGATACTGAGCAGAAAGTTCCTAACTCACAAAAACATTTACAATGCAACCACTTCGTGCATCACTTGTGTGGAACAACACAGCTGTCACTTCTTCCGCCTGTGACTAGGCTGATCTCACGTCTTATCCCAGCTCCTCACTAATTTGATGCTTCTATTTACCAGGAGGTGGGAACCAAAATAACCAAAGAGAGTTAGAATTGTGTGTCCATTAACATGGACAGATCAAGCCAGGATCTCCCTGTGAGACTAAAAACACATTTTTCCTTTTTGCTGACCTCCACAGTTCCCGCATTACATATGGCAGGGGTGGCAGGCTGAAGTGGGAGAAAGTCTAATCGACTGGTGTTAACTCTATCTTGATTTGAAAACCAATTTTGAAGCAAAAAGTATAAATCAAACCTCTAATCCACAAGTGTGTAACATATAACTTACAGCGCCTCTTCTTACGTATTATATATTATATGCATACATAGCATCATAATTCCGGTTGCCACGAACCTCAATATACCATCTCAAACCCGGATAAATTAAATCTTGACTTACCTGTATATCTGTTCATAGGATATGGGGATATAGTCACCAGGACTCTGGGTTAAAAGCTGATCTATGGCACCATCCAATTTTGGCCAGTATGTGCTCTTATAATCTTCAATAGTTATAACATTCATTACTAAAAGTAAAAAGCAAAATAAATATTACTATGTGCCACATGTGAACACAAACTAGCAATTCTGCACCCTCAAATTGCTTTCTGATTTCACACTGATATCCTATCACCTAAACATGACTCGATTACTATCCCTTTTCCAACTGAAAACAAAAAGTCACCTGGTTAGGGATTTTAAGCCTTTAAAAGGAATTACTATGAATCTGTTCATCTTCAAAAATAACAACAAACAAGCAAATATCATTGGTTTCCCTTCCTGGTTTCTGTGAGCTTCTGTTATCAGTGGAACTTCTCAAACATGCACTGATCTTCAAATACATATTGTCAACGATGTGCCGCAATGGGCTATCTGTGAACCACAATAAAGTTCTAGGAAACTATGAACCCCAGCAATCGATATTTATGGACACCCCTGAGAAAATCTACCCAAGTATGACTATAGGCAATAAAGTCCAAATACTACAGCAACATAAGAGGTTGCTAGGAACCCACAGAGATTTATGGCACCACCAGCACCCTGTAGACCACACCTCTGCCCGAGGCTCTCACCATCCTCCATCTTGGATGAGCCCGACAGGAAAAAAACAGCCATGAACTGGAGGCCTACACCGAAGGCTTTCCTACCGGCTGGCTCATTTCATCACCACGGGTTTAATAAAGTATTTAAAACAGCCGGTTCTAACAATGTTGAAATCCAAAGGTGACAGCTGTTGACACAGTACAACAACAATGAACTGAAACTAATGTTAAAAAGAGCTAACCAAAGCACCTAAGCACCACTACGTCAGGAGACTGGAACTAATACCTCCCAGATCCTGTATGTTACTATTTTACCAGAAACTGGGGGCGGGCAGAGGGTTGACTTCCCCAAAAGTTCATGGTTGATTGCTGGCAGAGATGCCAGGTAAGAGAAAGCCTTTCCCCAGCATCTTCCTATCACATTATGATTTCCAAATCGCAGTCATTCAAGTCAAGATGTTTCTCATATCTATGCACGACTTAAAACGTTTTGTTCAATATTTTCCTTAAATCTTTTTTTTTTTTTGCTTAAATTTATTTTAAAGGACAACTGACAAATGAACGACTGATTTACATGACATGGAATAATCTTTACATACTGTGCTAAGTAAAAGAATCAGACCTAAAAGGTTCCACGTTGTAAAATTCTCACTTATATTACACTAATAAAGGCAAAACTACAGCGAGAACAGATCGTGGTTGCCCGGAGCTAGAAGGTCAGGAAGACGGTCTACAAAGGAACAGCATGGGGAAATTTTCAAGACAATGCACTGTCTTGTATGGATACATCACCCCATACATTTGTCAAAAACAAGAAGTGTACACCACAAAAGTAAAGTTACCGTGTGGAAATTTAAAAATAAATAAACCAGGCTGCAGTGAGTGGTAAAGATGGAATACAAACTGTGATGAATCTCATTTACAAACGAAGCACAAAACCTTCACTGAAGGAAATGGGGAAGAAAAGAAATATTTTGACTACATAAAAGGCTAAAAACAAAAAGAATTGTACATAGGCAAGCTAATGTGCATGCACAAACATACACACACACACACGAAAGAAAGAAGCCAAATCATGTAGTTTTATGGGCCACTGTAAAGACTCTGGCTTTACTCTGAGTAAGATGGGGGCCTTGGAGGGTTTGAGGAAGAACAGAGACCCGATCTGACTTAGATTTTCTATGGATCACTCCGGGGGCTGTGTTAGGAATAAACAGTGTTTAGAGGCTATGAGGTGATAAGGGGCTGGACCAGGTGGTGGCAGAAAGGGCAATGAGAAGAACCAATGAGATCTGCTGCTGGTTTAGACGTGAGATGTGACAGACCAGACAAGGATGACAGCAATGTTTCTGGCCTGAGCAACAAAGGATGAGGCTGCTGTTTACTAAGAGGAGGAGGATATGGGAAAAGCTTAGCGTGTTTGAGAGAGAGGCAGAAACTGTGGGTGTCCCACCCACCTACTTTGTCCACAAAGGCCACTGTCGACACCTACCATTATTTGCCTCTGTGTTCTCTCTGGCTGCCAGGATTGCTCTGCCTGAAGGAGAGACAAGTTGGAAGTTGTGGAGATAACACCTCCGGAGCCACCTTCAAGTAATGACTAATGAGAATTCAAGATAAAAAGCCAGCATCTCCTTTACTCCCAGTGAGGTCCGCATGCTACACTGACTCCCAGAGCTCTCCACTGGGATTCGGCTCCAGCTGCCCACACAGCTGGCTTCTTTCCTGGCCTCCTTACCTTCCCCCCGTCTCATGCCTCTACTCCCTGACAGGTGCTTCACAGAATCACCCCTCTGCACTTAAAACTACTTGCACTTAAAATAAAAAGATCTATCAAAAAGAGAAAAGCAGTGCCATTAAACAGAAGGCAATATAGAAATAAACACAATGTTATTAAGTTCAAGGTAGACCCCACTGCCTGCTAAAGGTTCTGAGACTGCTGGATGCTTTCCCTGCGAAAAAAGGGAGATTGGCAGATGCTGAGAAGTTATTACACACTACCTCCAAAATACTACCTTTCTGCTCTCGGAGGATTCAAAGAAAATTGAAAAAAAAAAACAAAGAAAAACCAAAAACTAAAAAAGAAATCATTTCCCCACTATGTGCTTCTAGGTTACTGAATCCCCTACCCGTGTATCACCTACACCATGTCTTAACACCTGCTATACAGTGAAAGTTAAGACTTAAAGTAAGTGACATGCTCACAAAACTCCGAGTCTCAGAAAGCCAAGAAGTAACAAACCAATGCGACGGGCTCCTCGACTGCTGAGTTCAAGGAACTATATCTATGACCGCAGGTGGGGACACTCTACTTCACTCTTTAGCAAACCACCAAGTCAAAGATATGAAGTAGGAAAAAGACTAAAATGTGAAGTCTGGCAGGTGCGAGTATGACATGAAGTCTCGCTACAGAAACTGTGACTGCTCAGGACTCTCAAGTGTCTTTCACATGGCACTTTTTAAAATGCTCTGCTCTAAATAAATTAATTATTTTTTTTAAAAAAAAGACAATAAAATAAATAAGAATAAAATAAAATGCTGCTTTTAAACATCCTTGAAGAGATTTTAAAACCAAAATGAAAAAGGCATGAGTCACAGTAGAAAATCTTAAAGCCTGTTTCTGCATCCAAAAAAAAAAAAGCTTTATCTATTTCTACTCTATATAATTCTACATATATTTTGCTTGACATATAAATAGGAAGCCAATTCAGTAGACCTCATATGCGGGCTGTTATGGACTCAATGTTTGTGATGCCCCCACCCCCAAGATTTATGTTGAAATCCTCACCCCCTATGTGATCGTGTCAGGAGGTGGGGCCTATATGGTGGAGCCCTCACAAGCGGAATCAATACACCCCGAGACCTCCCTCTCCCATCCCCTTCCACCACTGAGGACCCAGCAAAAAATGGCCAGGAAACCAGACCATGGACAGACTGCGACTCTGCAGGCACCTTGACTTTGGACTTCTCAGCCTTCAGGACTCTGAGAAAAAAATCAGCTACCCACTCTATTCTATTGTTACACTAGCCTGAATGAACTAAGAAAGTAGCTAACGTAACTTTCTCAGATCTCAGGAGAGCAGCCAGTAGTCACCATGCTAGCAAAAGCACAGCAGAACAGACAAGCATCTGCAGTCAGAGGCAGTGTGAAGAGTGAGCACTAGTTGGTATACGCTCTTAGCCAATGATTAGGAAGGTTTCCATAACATTCTGTGGTCAATACTGAAAATGACAATCCAAGAATCTTTAAGATATGTGTTATTTCCTTGCTAATCTCAATCCAATCTTATATTCAAAAAAATGCAAAATATATTAGCTATTTGGTTTCTTTAACATTTGACGCAAACAGCCCCAACGAGTATATATGTGTGCATGTAGTCTTAAACTTTAAAACCAGATCCTCCTGTTAGGAAAATGCAATCAACTGCTTTCAGTTTTGCCCACAGAAAAGTTCAGATTGACCAAAAGAAATGTAAAGTGTAGACCTAAATAAATATGAAATTACCACTAAATTACTGAATTTTATCTAGGTTAGATTTTCCAGTATAAACTAATACACTATTTTTTAAAATGTTTAAAGAAGGCATTATAAACTCAAATGCCTACAAAGGTCCAGGCCAGTAATATAAATGTGTAAAGCAGGCCTGGACTAAGAATAACAAGAGTAGAACACATATGTCATTCAAGTTCAAAAACTTTTAAAACTCTTGTGATAGCCTCAAAATATCATGCCACAAGGATTAAACCTAGAACCACATTTTTGTAAAACAACCTCGTGCAGCCTAAACCCTACTGAAAAAGTAGTTTAACTGACCATTACTAAAATAAAGTGAAATAAAGTCTAAAATACATAAAAGGTTCAGGATATATTATCGGGTTGCTAATAACTGAGAAACTATTAGAGATATGTAATTATACCAAGCAGGAATTAATAAGTTCAACTCTTATACTTTCTTATCCAAGTAATTTATCTAAACTTGACAAATTTATTATCAATCTCCCTCAACTTAGACATAAGTCCCATGGAGGAAGAATTCACTGCTACAGCCCCAACTCCAAACAGTGCCTACCACATGGTTGGTATTCAATAACATATGTGAAGTAAATTAATTTAGAGGAAGTCTAAATAAATGTTTAATATAAAACAATCCAAGGCATACTACTTATTAGTTGTTTTGGAATTAAAGCTTAAATCGTATTTGATTTCACACAGGCTAAAGCAAACCAGGTAAGAACTATTAGTTATTCCTTTTGTTATTTTGTTGTTGTTTATAAGGGGAGGATATATTCAGAAATAATAGCATGCATTATTAATTCATACTTGTTTTACTGCAAAGGCTGGTCATTACCTTATTTCAGTGGTTCTCAAAGTGTGATACCCAGAGCAGCAACAGCATCATCTAGAAACCTTCTAAAGCTTGAGAACCACTGTCTAAAGCTACTTCAGCAGCTCAGGACCGCCAGGAGTCACAGGCATGCCTGTT